TTTATCCGTTGAACGAAATGGGTAACCAGAAGAGAGCAACCAAAACCGGCGCACAAAAGTGAATGATTAGTGGTTGTACAAACTGAAACTGAACTGAACTGAACCTGTCGTTTCTCTCTTAAACGCGTTACCCATCTTATGTCTGTTCATGATTACTTCACACATGATGCAAACCGATATATGATTAACGATGTTTAATGAACACCGTTACAGTTTTTCCACACAAGTGTGATTTTTCCATGGTCATACTGTTTATGGAAGTGTGCGACTTAAGACCCACAGCGAAAACCCACGCAAGGTCCTAGTTATGTCCCTAATGAACTGCGCTCAACAGAGTTTTGTTCTACGATGAGCTATATTCTCTATTCATTGGAGTTCGATGAAAGGCAGCTAATACATAATGATGACGTTTCTCAGCGGGTCAGATTTACTGGAGTGGTGTTTATGCGTATATCTACAGCTAATTTTTCAGGATGACTGTTTATCACTCGGCATAAGTCGTTACCATTGGTGTACTCCGGGCTACACAATCCAAGTTTTAAACTCTGCCTCTGTCGCCCAGGCTTGATGGTGCTATAGTCAGGCCCAGCATATTCTGCCGGGTCTTTGTAGCTTACCATATCGAGCGAGTCCTGAGGTTTCGGTAACCGGTTCCCGTAACAGGGCCTCTAGGTCGTGGGCTTCACTTTTGTTGTTCATCACAAAGTGATATACAATAGAAGAAAGCTGTATGTTGGTCTTGTTTTAGTTCATAGTGATTTTCGCTGAAGCAGTCCTATTTCACATTGCTGTTACACATTAGTGATTGAGAGAATCACAAAAAGAGGAGTTTCATTGTAAATGATAGATAGCATGTTTTGAGTTTCTTTTTTTGATTAGACACCCAAGTGTGATGAACAGCAGACGGAGCGAACTCCATAGTCACGAGAACCGCCTGTTTAGTGGTGGAAACCGGCAACCTAAGCCCCGGGACTCGGAGTGGCAAACCACATAAGGCCCCGATAGGTTAAACGTGGTATTGAACCGGACGACAAAAGAGCTACCTACCACCAAAGTCGGATGGCGGTGGCAGAGCGAGTGAAGAGAAATCGGCTTTGTTCTCAGCTCTTTGAGGTTATTTTTAGTCTACAGATCATTCCTTAACCTTCTGGGTCCATAATCTCCATAATCCTTTTTCTATGTCTTGCTTTCCTTGATTGCTTATATTGAGTGTCGTTTGGTTTTGTCACTTTATGACGATAATTGGAATCTTGGTATGGTTTTACGGAAGAGTGTTCTTCCAATACCGTGAACTGTTTATAATTACCCTTCCATCAAAAAATCTAGACTGGTTTGCACAGAGAGCGGAGGAATAGGAAAGAAGAGACGTATTCATCATCCTATCCATTTTTGTAGGAGGTAACGATTGGCTTAGGCTTTTCGTTTTTATGTATCTTGAAGCTGATCATTTGTAGAGTAGGTGTCTCGTCTTCCGGGCTGGGGTCAAAAGACTTCGAAACCGCATGGTTGGAGACTGAAGGTCATGGCTGCGAACCGACAGCAATGGCGATCATGCTGTCACTTCTTATCAGTCCAAAATGCTTGAACTAGTATGTATGTGCAGTTGAACTGTGTACTCTGTGTTGACCAAAGAGGTTCGCTTTCTTTTCTCGTCCCTAAACATAGACCCAATCCCTGTCCTTACACATTCTCACTTATCTTGCATGCATTATGAGTTTGGCAGCGATCAGTGAAGTTCGCTTCACTGCATTACGCTGTACAATAATGATGATGATGATCATTTGTGTGTTGGTGCTATTCTCAGTTTTGGTCGACTTTATACCATGCATAGGAAGTCGGTACGTAGATGTCAAATTAATGAGAATTATAACACCTCCAGCAAACTATCTAATCAGTAATGTTAAGCTGTACTCCTTTATATTTTTCACTTTGATGTTGATTTCCATTTATAATGTGTATTTAGTAACGTTTTGCTTTATTCCAAATTGCAGGAGTTGGTGAAAGGCTGTTTCGTCCGCATAAATATAGGCCTGAATCAAGGCGTTCAAGTTTACCGTTGTGCAGAAATCGTTGATGTGGTGGAAACCCCCAAGATTTACGATTTAGGAGATACTCGGTATGTTTGATGATCACTTTCATTTAACTCCCCTTTGATTGAGTGTTTTGATCTTTCCGCGACAGAGTAAATTTTGTCTCTGCGGTATGTTGTTAAGTCAGTGGCATTGTTTATTATTTTTGGTATAATTCTAAGATTCTCAAAACATCAAACCCATCTGTTGTGTTTTCCACATGCTTCAAAATTCACTTATTAGTGGTAACAAAAAATCGGTTCTAAACTTGGCCCACCTACCTTCCTTCTTACAGTATTTCTTTGACTATGGGGTTTACACCGTTTGCTGTAAATCACTTTGTGTAACAAAAAACTCAAATGCTGCGTTTCTTAGCAACAGCAGCAAAAGAATATTCCCGGGTTCTTAGTATACTATAAGCACCAAAATGTAGTGACCAAAACTACCACATAACACTGTTATGAACAGATTTCGGTAAGCGAAACAACCTGTTTTCATAGTTTATCAACTAGCCTTTTGTGGTTATATGGGTAGAAAATTCAACACCGATCCAATGTAAGGTATCTCTTCTGTGTGCTGTGAACACCTTTTTTCTGCAGGTTTTCGATTAATTGGTTGTCAAGGGGGCGATCAGGATAGCCATTCTTCCATAAAATTGATCACTGGTTTTACTTGTTCGATTAAGGTATCCCGAGGGTACAGATTATCTATGCTCGTCTCGCTATGATCCACCAAATTTCTCTTTCAAATGGTGTGAAACTATGGAAATCAACGTATTGCGTTTACTTCTGCAAAGCGGGTGCTAAACCTCAAATAATCATTTAGTTCACTGACCACGAAAGGCTCTTTAATAGGTCTCAGCGTACGGAATACGTTGGTTGCGACACAGAAGACGAATTCCAATGGTTGAAAAAAGAAACCGGTGTTCGAACACCGACCATCTTTTTTTGATCCTTTTCCCGTAATGTCAAGGTCTCTACACCATGAAGCAGGACTGGCCGAACTGCGACAGCATATAATCAACCCCTTACAGACAGCCGGATGTCGCAAGGGCGCTACAAATGTCTCAAGCTGTCAAATGCCAACCGAGCCTTCTTTATGCGCGCTTCACCGGATAAAATGCCGCGGACAATCAGCGACTGTCTGATCGCGTATCAGGCTTTCGATTATTAGACGTTCTCTTTACAACAGAAAGTCACAAAAGGGAACGTGGTGAATTTTGCGTAGCTAACTCGTCACTAAAGGTCATTGCTTTCATTCTGTTACTCTACAGGTCGTGGTTGAATGTCTATGGGCTTGGTGTGTATCCTCGAAGAAAAAAGCCGGGTGGTGGTACTGGAATGTCACTCTCCAAGGATTGATTCATCAGGCCAACTTACTCTCTCGTAAGAGGTAGTGGCCTGAAGATGAAGAATGTAATATGCCATTTGTTTTATTGAATCTGTTTTTTTTTATAAATGTGCAACATGTGCACATATATTCTTCTGTTGAACCGTCGCTTGATCATTGTCTGGGTCGTGCAGTGCAGGCTATCCTCAATGACATCCATTGTATGTACCCTGTTGCTGTAACTGCTGCAAAAGGTTTTCATTTATTACATTTCCTTGTACGAAGTTGAGACTGGTGTTATTCACACTACTAGTCGATGTAGTATTCAACCATTCTCATTGTTTCTGTACGCAGAAGCATTATATATATATATATATATATATATATATATATGTATATATGGGGACAGTAAAATGGATGGGCTGACGTGAAGTCCAGTAAACTAAATTGTTTGAAAGTAACCAAAGATTGGTTGCCATCTTTATCTTTTTTTGCAACTCTTCGTCTTTTTCTCTTAGCACTAACAAAGGGGTTGTGCTTCGTGTTGGGCGAGATCAGAGTACCTTTCGTTTGGCCTTTGTATCCAACTCGGAGTTTCTTCCG